CTGTCTTTTAAACAAAAGTATAGACGAAAACTATATACCATTTATAAGCTGGATATAGTAAGTCTAGTTGTCAGAAGCAACGTAAACATGTCGGGTCTCCTGGTAAGAGAAAAATTTGTCTTTCCTTCTTATGGTCATATATAAGTAGTTTTTTTCATATTACAAAGGAATACACGAGAGAATATAGAGAATTTTGTGTATTATAAGTATTCCGTTATTCGTTGGGTCTTAGATATTAAGGAGGAGAGTAAAGTTCATAGTACCGGGATCTACTGTCATTTTCGTAGTTGCTATTTTTCGTTGATGTAATCTAAGCTTTTAGTTAATGTAGAAATAGAGATAGAGATAGAGAAAAAAAATAGGTTGATAGCCATATAGAATGCACAAAATTATTAGCTTAAATAATTGACCTGCCCTTAGCTAAAGTCATACCCCAGTCCAGTCACTTGTCTGCCCAGTCTGCAGAGTATGGCATGTGCACAACGGGGATATTTTTGTCCTGAAGCTCCTGCACACTGGTAGTTTTGCCTCAGTAAGGATGGGTTCCTATTACAACGGGATACAACATGACATTAAATGCTGCTTTGTTCATGTTACTTAGCCATTATATAACCTATGTGGGAGAATTGCATTGCATATTATCATAGTAATTACATCACCTACCAAACATATTAACACAGAATCACTTATCCTTATTTGTTTTTAAAGGTCAACTATCACATCACAAATGATGCCACAAGAATACAAGGAACCAAATTAAGCGGGGTAATAGGCATAGAAATGCCAGACCTTATGACCCTGAGGAAAAGCACTGAATTGACCCAGATGAATTGAATGAAAAAAAAAGTCAAGGAATGCTCCTTTGTATTAGTGAAATGTTGGTTCAAAGCAAATCCCCTGGTGTGCACCAGCACACCTAAATATCTGGTGGTGCACACTGGCACACCAAGCATTTTGCCTTTACACACTAGAGATCTCATCTAAAGAGTCCCATGTTCTGCAAACTGGTTGTCAGCTAGTCTTGACTAGTATGGCAGTTATTCGGAATTCCTTCAAGTAACTGATCATGATGATATTGGTATTGATGGCTCTGTCTCACTCTATCCAAAAATACTGAAATTGCTCTGCAGAACCCCCCCCCCACACACACACACACACATACACACACACACATTAACCCCTTGGTGACCAGTTAAGAACACTAAAAAAAAACTACGCTCTGGTGATCAATAGTAGCTTTGGCGCGCCACCACGGCGTACAGCCACACACCACATTTCAAGCAGTTTGTTTTCACACCTATAGGTGTGACCCGTCGGGAAGGGGTTAATGACAATCTTGGCCCCAATAGCAGGGCATGATAGGTACCCAGGAAATTACAGGGTAAAATATGAATAATATACACAAAATCAGTCACAGCATTATCTTATACAGTGGGCATTGCTCCTAGCAACCCCCCTCTTAGGGTCTAACACCCCTCAACCCCCTCAGTGGAAAACAAAAAATCCTCCACATATTCACGTCTGGGTAGAGCGTATATTCAACATGCGGGAGCGCCCATTGCTGAGTGTGTCCTTCGCTCTATCCTGCTGTACAAATGTATTCTTTGTTGTCCAGCCCCATGCATTTGACTATATATTGACCAATTCTCTGAACATTATTCATATTTTATCTCCTCCCCTGGTATTGAGGCCAAGATTGTAGGAATTTGGGGCTTTCCACAGCAAAATTTTTAAATATTTGGATTGTAGAGGGTGAGTGGAACCCATCAATACTAGTATTGTCATGATTGGTTATGCGAAGGCATTCTAAATATTTACCATGTGTACAGTTGCAACGTGTCAACCTTTCCAGTAGTTACTGAATAATGAACTTGGCCACTCTCTGACTTAAAAGTATGTGATAAAGGTTGTTGGCTTTTGCCAAAGGGCAGAGGCCTTAGTGTCATTTCATATCCGATATTCCATGTTTGTGATGTGTCAGCTGTATTTGTGGTAAATATTCAGAATACCTTTGCATTACTAATCATGACATGTTAGTATCAATGGATATCTTTCACTTTCTTGTACCTATATATGTAGGACTTTTGCCACAGAACCCCCCCAAACCCCCCCTTTCATGGCCTCAATAACAGGGGAGGGCAGGAATGGTACTAGGGAAATTGCAGGCTAAATTATGAATAATATACACATAATAAGTCACTATATTGTCTAATGTAGGGGGCTGTATCCCCTGTGAAGACAAAGAATCTTCCATATATTCACGGCAGAGTAGAGCGTACAACCGATATTTGGGAGCATCTGACCCTGATTATGTCTTACACTCTATCCTGTCATACATACGTGGTCTATTCTTTGTTGTCCAGCCCCCTGTAATTCCCCTGGTACCATTTCTTCCCTCTTCTGCTATCAGAATCAAGATTGTAGGTATAATGTCAATAAGTTTGGGTAGTACAGAGAGAGAGGAACCCATCGATACCAATATCATCTTGATTGGTCAGGT